AAAGAAAGTAAAAGTAAAAAGGAAAGTAAAAACCCAAAAGGAAAAAGGAAATAAATGGAGAAAAGGAAAAAAAAGAAAAACTGGGAAAATGAAGAAAATAAAAAAAGGGGGGAAAGGGGGGGGAGGAAGAAAAGGGGAAAAAAGGAAAGTAAAGACACAAAGAATGCAGGGGAAATAGGAGTAGAAACACAGGGAAAATGGGAGTAGGAACATGGGGAAAATGGGAGTAGGAACACAGGGGCATAGGGAGTAGGAACACAGGGAAAATGGGAGTAGGAACCCAGGGAAAGCTCTGAGCAGCTCGATCTCCCATTATGGTTGGGGAAGCCTTTTCCAATCCCTGTCTTCCTCTGTCTTTTGAGGTGAGTCCCAGAATATCCTGAGTTGGAAGGGACCCCCAAGGATCATCGAGTCCTGCTCTATCCCACCCCAGCAGTGCCAATTCTTCATTCCCTGGGTTTTTTTTCCATTCCTCTCTCTCTGTTTCCAGCTCTTTCCTTTCCCTCTTCTCCTGCACTGCATCTCCACAGGTGGGTTTGGAGGAAACAAGGACACCCATCCTCATCCTGCTTCCCACAGAAGGGAAGAAAGAGCCAACAATGAGGAGAGGGATGAAGTAAATTCCAGGGATTTCCTGCACAGAGAAAAGGGGAAGTGGGGAAGTGCCTGGGACTGCTGTCCTGGGATTACCAGAGCAAAGCCAGGTTTTATATTTGGAGGCTGTTCTTCAGTTCCCATCCTGTCAATGGTTGGAGCAAGTGGAACCCACTCAGTGAGGACTGAATGATCCTGGTGGGTCCCTTCCAGGATATTCCATGGTTCTCTGAGGCCTGGAATTGCTGTCAGCCACACAAGGGGGGTGCAGAGCCAGCCCATGAGGAGGAGCTGGAGGAAGGAACAGATGGGAGAAGGGAAACCACATAAACATGCAAAGGGAGTGCAGCAGGTCCATGGCTGCCAAAGGATCCTTTATCATTTATTTATTTATTCATTTGAGGCCCAAACTTGGCGACAGATCCACAATTCCGTGCTGCCATCAAAGCCCCTAAAAATGAAAAGTGCTGAAATACAGCTAATTAACCAGCCTTCTCTGAGCCTCTGCTGGGTTCCCTCGTGCTCAGGGCAGGGCAGGGACTTGCTGTGCTTGCTCTGCCTCGCTCACAAGGATCCAGGACGAGCCAGACTTTGGAGACCGTGACAAACACCAGGCAAAAGTGTCGCCAAAAACCTCTCCTGAGACAGCAGAGCCTTCATGGATGTGAAACATCTTTCCCAGTGCTCCCAAATGTGCTTGATCCCAATCACAGTGTAGAGCACATAGTATATGCTACTGTGAGATGCTTTCATGACTTTTCCTGCTTCCTGCCAGGAAAAGCAAACTCTTCTCCCCAGGGAAAGCCCTCAAAGGCCACAGAGCCTGCCCTGAGCCCTCCACCCACAGAGCCAGCAGGGTTTGGGCTGTGGCCCAGCTCCAGGCTGGATCATTAAGCAGGACAAGCCAAGAGACCAAATCAATTTTTGTGTTCCAGCTCCAACATTTCGCTGGTGGAAGGCCTGGCTGGCTCTCAGGGTGACCTGAGCCTGACCACAGGTCTGACCAGAGAGGGAGGCAGGAGAAATGAAACACTGGACACGATGTGCCAGAGTTACATCCATGAGGGCTCTTTCACTACTCCTGAGCCATTTGGGTAGAAAGAGCAGCAGGGCCTTCCCCAGCACCCCCTGAGCAGTGCCCACACCAAGCCTGGCTCCAGGAGCACCCCAGGCATGGGGATTGAGAGATCAGTGTCCCTTAAACCTGACAGCACAATTCTCCCAAAGCAAGGTGCTGCAGAGGGAACCTGAGGCATCTGAGGGACACTTTCAGGGTCACAGTGGAGACCCAGGGGTCTGTACCTCAAGCATTTAAAGCCCATACAAGCTCTTGGGCCCCTGGTGTGCTCTTCCCAACAAGCCCAGCTGCCATGGCTCCCTCTGCCCAACCTCTGCTCAGCTCCCAGCTGCTTCCACCCCCTTCTCTGGTACTTGGATCAAGGTGCACCCACCATGCTAAGCCTGACCTAAATCCCTAAAAACACCCTTCTAGCCTCTTCCATGGCACTCTGCTCCATTACCCACCCTGCAGCCTGCTGCCTGTGCTCAGCAGCAGTGCCCAGCTCACAGCTGGATGTCAAAGGACAACCTGTACCTGTTGGCTTCAAGCACCTGAGGGCTCTCTCCTGCCTCTGCTGCAGCCCCCAGAAGATTGCTGGCACCCCCAGCAGTGCCAGCACAGCCTCCCCTCGAGGTGCAGACCCCAGTGGGTGAACAGGGTCATTTATCCTGAGTGGAGAAGCTGAAAG